CTTACCCCTTCAATTTTTTACCTAGTAAAACTTAAATAGGAAATTGTTATACAATGGGCTCATATCATGGGCTTGAGATTGTGGCACAAAACTGTTGGTTGATAAAATATCCGTGTATGAAATCTTATCCATATTTGAATGAATTTTTAGATTGTGTAAAATATCAAACTTAATACTAACAAATGTAACAACAAAAATGAATATTAAAAAAGTGTCATGAACGTAACTAATGACATGTACAAAAATGTAATTTAACAAAACCAATGCTTTAATCAAGAATGAAAAAATATTTGAACACATTCAATCAGTTGTGACAAGAAATAACGGAATTAAAATTAACTGATAAAGAATCATAAATTTTGATAAGTAAAGATAGTTATCAATAACTTATTTAAAATTATAAAAAAATTATTTTGAACTATTAAATAAATAAAACTTAAAAGTTATGAATTTTGAAAATGTTAGGCCAAAATTGGGTGTCAACTATCTCTACTTACAAAAAAAACTCTTGGATGCCAAGTCAAGTAATATATACCCCTTTTGAGTTTCTGAGTAACCCATATGAACTGAAACTTTTGACCTGGATGCTAATTTGTCATTTTCTGATAAGACTTTAGCAAAGCACAAACATCCTAACACCCTTAGATGTGTCAGCATTGGCTTATTTTCATATAGCTTTTCATAAGGAGATTGTCCTCCTAGTACCTCACTAGGCATCCTATTTATCAAATATGCAGCTGCAAGCACACACTGACCCCAATATTTCAAAGGAATGTTACCTTGAAACCTCAATGCCCTAGTAACTTCTAACACATGTCTATGCTTCCTTTTTGCTACTCCATTTTGTTGTGGAGTATAAGGACAAGACCTCTGATGTACTATTCTTCCTTCTTTAAACATTTTTTCACACACATAATTTACAAACTCTGTCCCATTATCAGATCTTACCTTCTTTACTACTTTACCAAACTGAGTACTAACAAACTGCAGAAAATATGACAAAGTAACACATACATCTGACTTATTTTTCAATAGAAACAATCAGGCCATTCTTGAGAAATCATCAATCACAGTAAGGAAAAATCTATTACCATCAAAAGTAGAATGTCTGTATGGACCTCATACATCCAAATGAATCAAATTAAAACATTCAGTACTCTTTCTACTACTTGGAAATACAACTATTGTTTGTTTTGCACAAGGACATACACTATATTTATTTAAGGCTTTGTTGACAACTTCAGGACTAACAGAAAACAACTTATTTAACACATGAGAAGACATGTGTCCTAGTATTTTGTGCCATACATTCACCTCTTATTGTACCTGACCTTGTGTAAGATTCTTCAACAACATATACAACTCATCATCTTCTTTACCAATCTCCCTCATCTTGCCAGTATAAAGTTCCTGAAACATACAGAAATGTGGAAAGAAAGTGACTGAGCATCCTAACTCTTTTGTCACCTTGCTGACTAACAACAAATTATATTTGAACTCTGGAACATGAAACACATTTGTGATTACACTTCTTGGGGAGATTGGACAAGATCCAATATAAGTCACATAAGACACTTCACCATTAGGCAAGCTTACAGGTTTTGGATCCTTGACCTTTACTATAGACTCTTTAGTTAACATCCCAATATTAGAAAGCATATGGTTGGTGGCCCCTCTATCTATAATCCAAATCTCACTATGTTCAGAAACTAATAGAGCTTTACCTGCTGAATTAGCCTGAACTCCATGAGCTGCACTACCTGATATGTTGGCACATCCGTGATTTTGGTCAAGCATCTGCAGAATTTGACTATATTGGTCTTTGGTGAAGGTGCAGCCTTACAGATGGTTAGCACTTTCATATGCTGCACTAGAGTATTAGCTTGTGGTTTTTGACCCTTATCAACAACATTAGCGTTGAACCCATAGTTGAATGAAGTTCCATCAGACACCCCATCATAAGTATATTTTCTTGTAGCATTAGACTCATTTCCAACCATGTAAGCATTATGACATGCTCCATTAGTCACTTTTCTCTTTGACTTGAAATCATGAGGGTATCCAATCAACTTATAACATTGTTCTTTGGAATGCCCCTTGCATCTGTAGAAGTCACATACCAATCCCAAGTTCTTCTTGAACTTGTTATATCCTTGGCCATTTGATGAACCTCCAATTCTTGAATACATTGCCAAAGGATCAACCCAGTAGAATAGATGGAGTTCAATCCTATAATTACACCACTTGAAGTCAATTTTTGACACTCATCATTCACTATCATAGCATAGGCTTAATTCACTCCAGGAACAGGACTCATCAACAGAATTTGACTCCTTCCTGTACAAAAGACTCATTCAATTCCATAAGGAATTGATAGAGATTTTGTCTATTTAGATGCTTGATAAAACCTCTTGATCTCTCACAATTACACCTAGGAGATGGAACTAAAGTATCATACTCATCCCACAATCCTTTGAGCTTAGTGAAATATACAGATACAAAATATGTACCTTGTTGAAGTGTGGCAATTTCTTTATGCAGACTGAATGTTCTTGATCCATCCAATCGATCAAATATTTCTTTCAAATCACTCCAAACCCCTTGAGCAGATGATGCAAACGTTACTCCTGCTAATAGACTCTTGGACACAGAATTTAAAAGCCAAGAGAGAACAATGGCATTTACCCTTTACCATTGACCCCCTAATTCTGCACTCACATTCTTTCTTGTAGGTTCCATCCACCAATCCAATTTTGTTTCTTCCAAGCAATGCCAATCGAATGGATCGATTCCATAATGCATAATTCTCGATCCCAAGAAGTTGAAATGAGATAAGGCTAACCCCACTGACATCAGCAGGACTCAAGAACATAGGATGATTATAATCCAATACTTGACTTGCATGCATAATCTATGTGGTATTTCCATTACCAGGAACTCCACCATTACTAATATCAGTATCTTGGCCACCATGATCCTCCCTTTGTGCCATTGATTTCACTCTTTCCTTTGATTTGAATCGCGGAAGCCTGATGAATTCTATAGAATCTGAACTTCAGAAATTTGCTTCTTATACACTTGATCTACTCAGACTTCGATCGATGCTCTGATACCATGAAGATTTACAGAGATTACTTTAGAGAAAAAGAAGAGTTATACTTCATAAATTTTGACAAGAATTGAATGCATTACATAGAGCTGAATAGAAGCTATTTATACATGTACTTCTTCTTCTACTTTTACCTATAGAATGTAACTAACTTTCTAACAACTTTGTAACAGATTAACTACCTTCTAACTGTAAACTTGAAGTGTAGTTTATGACTCTTTTTTCTAATTTCTGTCAACATAAAGTATACCAAAAAAACCTTAGATATGGATCATCTAACTGACGTGACCACTATTGATACAACCATGGAGTCAAAAATTTATTATTCTAAGACTGAAAGGGAACCTCTCTCGTACCCGACTCTTCATGGACTCCTTGTTGGGAGTTTGACCTACTTAACAGTCACTCGACCTGAAATTGATCATGATATTAATATTCACAGTCAATTTATGTCTGATCCTTGACGCCTTAATCTTCTAGTTGTTCATCGCCTTCTCTATTTTCTTCAATCAACTGCAATGATGGTTTGCATTATATTCATGACTCCCATACTCTCTTGCGTACCTTCTCAGACGCTCATTATGGTGGGTTCCTTGAGACTCATCATTCAACCACTAGGTATTGTGTGTTTCGTGGCAACTCCTTATGATATTAAAAGTCAAAGAAACAAGGAATTATGTCCAAATTATTGACCAAAGTAGAGTATTGTGTCATGTCAACTACTTGTAGTGAAGTGGTTTATTGACCAAAGACATACCTAAAGGGTTCTATTACCGCCCCCCCCCCCTCCCTCCGGCCTAAACTAATTAAAAATGAAATAAATACACCACAAACGCTGACATGACATAGAGGGTGTGCACAGTCTCTTGAAGGCAAGTGATGAGTGCACAAATTAATAACATGTCATTTTTTGATTGGTAACTTTATAATTAGTTAGTACACATATTTATTGATATTAAAACTTATATATATTTAATTATTTTTTATTTATTTCTTTGTAAAATATTTATTTTAATTTTTTTCCCACTTTAAACTTTTTTTTAATTAATTAATTAATTATATTTTCACTTTTAATTATTTTAAAAAAATTATGTGTATTTTTTTTTAAAATAATTTAAAAGTTACCTTTAATTTTAACATTTTAATTTTTTTTTATGTTTTATTTGATTTTTATTCACTTATTTTGATATCCGTTCAAAATTAACTTATTTTAAATACAAGACATTTGGAATTAAATTTGAAATAAAATCAAAACGAAAGACAAAGAAAATAAAATCAATAGAAAAATAAAGAGAAAAAACAATGAATGAAGGCAAAAAAAAAGTTTCAATGCAAGGTAACAAAAATATGTATTAATTTAATTTAAATACAAGATAATTAAAAAATAATTTGATTTTTAAAAAAAATATATATTTACATACGTGGCAGACGAGTGTGTACAAACATAACCAACTTGGGTGGTTGAAGGTGCCATGTCAACACAAAAGGTGCACAAAAATACGGAAAAATGAGTTCAACGAGGTAATAGGACCCTAGTTAAGTTTAGGCGTGTCTCTCGAATTTCGGTCATAGTCTAGGGGTACTTGTGTCTTAACCATATAATTATAGTTTATCTCATTTTGAATCCAATTTATTCGACAACTATGAATTAAAATAAACGTTTCACATAACCATTTAATTTTCAGTGTCCAAAACAATCCCTTATGTAACAATCCTTTATTCTAAGTTTTTCACTACGTAACAAAAGAAAAAGAAAAAAAAAGAAAAAATAGATTTGGAATGAGAAGAGTATAAATGAAGTAACAGAAGAGATAACAATTTACAACTGAAATAACCAATTGAACTCCATAACTGACATAAGTTTTTTTTCCCCTTTGGAAGAGAGAAAAAGATGGCGCAATGTCAATTGAACTTTCAGAAAGAAATTTCATGGAAATGCAGAGTCTCCATTAACAGAGTCACAAGAATTTGTTGTTTTCCAAAAAGATTGCAGATTGCTGAGTGTTGCGATCGACAATCTTTTCCACTTCCATTAACAACAACATCAACAACAAGAAGATCAATTGAAGAAGTGAAGTCACAAAGAAGCAATGAATACGAAATGAATGATTTGTGGAAAGTGAGAAGAGTAATTGAGAGTGAAGAAGAGATGATGGAAGTTGCTGCTATTCAAGCTGATGCCTTTTATGAACAAGAAATGATGGAAGTTTACTCCAATGATTTCTTCTTTCAATTCTTTAAGGTTCTTCCCATATTTCCTTAATTCTCCGAAATACCCATTCTTGATTTCTTCTTCTTCTTCTTTTTTTACTAATAAAAATGAGGATTGTGGTGATTATGTAGGTTGAACAATTCTCAAATCTTTATTACAGACTCAAGCATTATGCACCAGACAGGTAAAAAAAAATCAAAACTTGCCAATTCTTGATCAATGTTATTCTTGTACTAAAAGTTCAGTTCAATTCTTGAGTAAATAGGTATGCATGTTTAGTTGCGGAGGCCGCCTCAAGTGATGAGGAAGAACAACATCTTGTAGGAGTCATTGATGCTACAGTGAATGAAGATAAAGATATCCTTCAGTACCTGCCGTTAGCAACAAAATATATCTATATTTCTGGGATTGCTGTATTGACCAAATTCAGGTCAAGTAAAATGAATTGATGTTTTCTTTAACATGGCGTAAAATACTAATTTTGAGTTCTGTACTGTACATTTTGCTGACAATTGTGCGATATTGACCACAATTGCAGGAGGCAGAAAGTTGGAACTGCTTTGCTTAAGGCATGTGATGTTCTTGCAAGAGTTTGGGGTATTGAATATCTAGTCCTAAAGGCTTACGAGGATGATTTTGGTGCTCGAAAATTATATACAAATGCCGGTTATAAACTAGTTTCAGCTGATGCTCCATCAAAGACAAGGTGGATTCCTGAAAGAAGACGAGTTCTTATGGTTAAACAGGTTTCACATGAATCAACTTGAAACGACTCAAAATCTCTTAATAGTTTCGATATGAAATTAGAACTCTGCAAAACTGTATTAGCTGAATCTTGTGCTTTGTATTCAGAGTTACAAAGCTGACAACTCTGGTTTTCTATCAAATACATACATAGAAAGTGTATTCATATAATCGAGTTTGATATTGTTTACAACTTCTTTAGTGATTAGTGTGGTTAATATAGTGCTTACAGAAGAGGAACTTCCCAACAAAGGTGTTGTGATTTGTGAATGGACATTGAGTCTGGAATCTTAATGTAATGTCCTATTTCGTGAGAAATTGCTTTTATGTGTGAAATGATCATTTTTGCCTTTCCATTAGCTTTTTCATTTTTATTATGTGTTGCGGGGATGGTTGACATGGTTCTCAATGCGATCAAGTGAGATTTTAGTGATTTTGAGCTTTTGAGTTGGTTTATATTAAAAGTGTTGACTTTGGTCTAGCAAAATGTGTCTTGACCCTTGTCCCAGAGACAATGTCGATGCCACTTATAGCTTGCTAACCGGGCATCACCTTCTTCATCAACACTGGTGCAGTAGTTGTGGAGCTCAATTAGGAGTCATCATTAACTCCCTTAAACCACTCAAACGAGCCTTGCTCGTGAGTTACCCAATAGAAGTATGCACGTTTAGTAGCAAAAGGATTTTTTTACTACCCTTATGGCCACTCTCGACTAGGCCATCTAAAATGTCCTTTTTTTTTCTTGATGTTGTTGAGCACATCTTTTACTATGCATATCAATGCCAAGGTCTACTAAGAGGACTACGTCGTATATCTTGTAGTCCTGTGCTCCATAAGGGCCAGCAATCAAGAGCTTTCTGTTATACATTGATATGAATAGACTTCAGGGGAAAAACAATTACTTGGAAATTTTCAAAAATTGAGTTTTCCTTCAAAATGCTTTTTCTGGAAAATATTTTTCAGTCAAATCAAATACACCAAAAAATATATATATTTTTCAAAAATTTATTTCCATGATACTAAGGAAAGTTAGATAGATCAGTAACCTGATTATAACAGTAAGTTTGATCAAACCCGTTGCTTTGTTCATTAGGTAGGTCAGAACTTGGAAGTTCCTGATTCTGGAAGAGAAAATCCACATCATCGAAATTCACATCATTGAGATCAAAATCAAAATTGAAACACACATCACAATTTTCTTTCTCATTTGAACCATCCGCATCTGGTGCCGCGATACTATTGTTTGGATTAGACATATTTTGTTCACCAAAATACTCTTCGAAAATAGCAATTGCGGCTCCCAATTGATTCACAGTCACATTTGTATCAGATATCATTGTGTTACATGAATATGTTGTTAAATTGACATTCATGTTGTGGTCATTTTGTATCAGATATCATTAAATGCTAGCTCATGCTTATAATTAATGCTCCTTGAGTGTTGTAGTCCTTGTGATCCCAACATTTCAAACAATCAAGTTAATGTTAGCTATATAAGTAGGAATCCTCATTTTTCACAAAGCTCCATGAAATGAATTGTCAAGAAAATTAAATAATTGTGAAGTAGACTTACTTCCTCCCCCAAGGTGTTCCACAACTTTCATGAATTTGGCACGAAGATCCTCAGTCCAATTTATGCACTTCTTTCGCCTAACGGTCCTATTAATAGCACGATTCTGGCTTTCTCCTTCCCTCAACTCATATTTTTCATTCGATACAACATCATTCTCAGGCTCATCAATATTGTTGCTTTGTTCATTAGTATTAGGCATATTATTTTTCTCTCCAGCTTGTTCTTCATTATCTCCAATAACATTACTGTTACCAATACCATTAACATTCATCTGATTCCCATTTTCTTCTAATATTTTTCTAGCCTTTTCCTTTTTGATTCTTCTCAATACAAATTGCCACAAATAATTCACAATATTCTTGTCAAGTGGTTTCTTCAAGTAAATATGAGCTCCAACGTCAAAAGACTTCATCACTAAGTGTTTCTGCTGTTCATCACATATAACTGGATAAATATTTCGAGAAACTAGCATTAGAATTGAATTATATTGTACACGATATTTGAAGAGTTAATTCACGTATATCTATTGATTTTCATCTACTATAACAATAATTTACAAAACAATTGTTTATCATATCACTACAAAAAATAAATATATAGTGCATTGGTTAAAATAATTGACTATACCCACTATACAACAAAGTTGTAATGGTATCCATGTCGTATTATAAATATAAATATTATCTGACTAGTTAATTTTAACTATATTCAGTGAATTTTATTCATTATAAAATTAATGTTACAAAATAACTAGTTACCATATACTAAACAACCAAGAATTAGCGACAAACAGTTTATGTCTCTAAACAATAAAAATTTGTCACTAATCCTATTTAACACAGATTATAGAAATTATTGTGTACCTATCTTTCGCAAAGCTCTCCTTTCCTAAGAGTGAGTTGGTTGAGATATTTAATTTAGCAACAAACTAGTGACATTTCACAGCTAATTTTATTTTTGTAGTAAATTGATTGAAATAATAGACTTTACCCATTCCAGCAATAGATGCAATAGGTCGAACAGTACTAGAATAAATAATTACAAAGTGAAACAATATCCAAGGCCTTAGCTTGAACCAAAAGTTCGAAGGAATGAAAATAAGGTGAATGGACATTGATTATGAACATCAATTTTTTTCTTTTGCATTGGATAAAACTTTGTCATAGTTGTGGAAGCATCAACTGTCGTAACTGTATCAATGCACTTTAAAAGTCAGTGAAGAACAAGAAAATAAAGTTATACACAAAATTATCAGAAATGATTAATTATTTCTCATTCAAAATCAGTTATACAACTGCATATATCAATCAACTCATTTTGTAATCAATGTGTGCAATCTTAGATAGGTTCATATGAAACAAGACACATATTGTTTAGGATTAATAATAAGTAAACAAAATTGTTTAAAAAATTGAATTTGTTGGCAATATAGAATCAAAGGACAAAAAAGTTCCACTGAAATAGAAATGATTAAAAAAGAAAAAAGACATAAGTACCCCTTGAACAAGGATTCAAATTTCAAGCACACACGTTTCTTTAAACGTGGATCCTATTACCTTCCTGAACTATTCTGAGGTGTAAAAAACATACTCTTTGGTGTTAAGGTGGTATAGAGAGTGTGCTTACTATCTTGTAAGCAAGTGAGATGCGAAAAATATGAGAAAAATCTAATCAATATTAGATACATGTCATTTTTTAATTGATCATATTATACTATTAGTTAATACACATAATTATTAACATTTTTTTTAATATATATCTATATATATACACACACATTTTCCTTGATTTCTCTGTAAAATATTCATTTAACTCCTTACTTTTAAGTTTTTTATTTATTTTATTTTTTCCTCTTTTATTAATTGTTTCTTATCTTTTCATTTATAAATGATATGAAAAGACTAACAGTATTTTCTTTTTACAAAAAGTAAAAAATAAATTTAAAATATGACCTTTATTTTAACGTTTTGATGTTTTTATATTTTCTTCACTTTTTTGTATCCAAATAGAAATAAAAGAAACAAGGTATGCAATAAAGAGTAAAAAAAATATTTGTGCTTGAGAAAATTTTTAAACACAAGACAAATAAAATTTAAAAAGTTATGCCTGTTTGAGAAAATTTTAAATACAAAACAAGGAAGTTTTTTAAGAAATACGGGTATTAGCTACTTTAAATACAAGGCAAAGAAAAAAAGAAGGTTTTCTTAAAAGATAAATATACATGTGGCGACATGTGCATATCACCACATCTAATTGAATTGGGTTATGCCTTCATGCCAGTATATAAAGTGCAAATAAATATAGGAAAAAAAGTTCAGGGGTAATAGGACATCCTTAAAAATAAAGTGTGTCCTTAAAATTTTGATGATAATTCAGGTAATACTTATGCCTTTTTTCTATATTAAAAAAAACATTGGCATCATGTATTTTATTTTTTCTTAAAAATTTGTTTCTTATTTATTCAACACTTCAATAAAAGACAAATTATTATTTAATCTCAAGGTTAGCAATATTGATAGTCAGATCCATTCCTATCAATTCTTTTAATTCCCTCTGACTGCCCTAATCCTGTGCCTCCACCACCAAATGATTTTTTTTTTTCTAAAATGATCCAGAGAATTGTAAAATCAAATATCCATGCCTTTAAAATCGTTTTTGAGAATTTAAATTTCTCCTACAATTCTATATCATTCTAGACCAAGGCATAGAAACAATCCTC